GGGCAAGGAGAGGGGAAGGATGCAATGATCAGGAGCTCCTGACAGAAGTATTTTATCATGCAGGATGGTCCATTGATCTCTCAGCTTTGAAGCCTGCAGAACCAAAATAATATTTTCTAACAGAGCAAGCTGGAACATCCCAAATGCTCCTTGGGTTGTTTTGGTTTTGTGGTGGGTTGTTTAAGGTTTTATTTGTTTGTTTTTGTTTGGTTGTTGGGGTTTTTTTCCCCCTTAGGCCGGGCAGCAGCCACGGTATAACAAAACAGCAGTCAAAACACACAAATTACCAGCTGAAGAAAGGAATACTGGAAGATTTCAAAACCCGGGCTGGTTTCACAGCAGGCAGGGCGAGATGCTCGTCACTCATCGCGGTGTGCTCCAGCGGATCCACCGTCACCGGCTGCGGATTAGGGAAAGGAAAAGGACTCGGGGGCAGGGAAGGGAGCCAGGGAATGGAGGGGAAGGGATGGGGGAGGGAGGAGGAGGAGGAGGAGGAGGAAGGGAGGGAGGGAAGCTGCTGCCCGGGCAGGATTGGTTGGAAATTGCTGCAGCCCAGGCGTGTGGTGCCTGCGGCGCCCGCTCCCCGCCGGGCCGAGCTCAGCTCAGCTCAGCCGAGCCGAGCCGAGCCGAGCCGAGCCGAGCCGGGATACGGCCCAGGGGCAGCGCTCCAGAGCGATGGAGCCTCCCCTTCCCTGAGCTGTGCCACGGGAACGACAGGGGTGTCACAGAGGCAAAGGGAAAGCACACAAGGGTCGGGCTCACGGCAATCCACTGTCCTGTTGGTATCAGATATATTATATCTGATATCTATATATTATATAGATATACATATATATATAATATACAATATATTATATTATATTATATTATATTATATTATATTCACACAAACATAACAGACTCAAAGTATTTCTGTGACCTGCAGACACAGTTTGCTGCCATTGCAAATCTACAGCTGTAGGAGCTGCAGTTGGCTTCCACTTGGACACAAACCTCCTGAGCGTCAGCATCAGTGCCTTCAAAATTGTGTGGATGGAGAAAAGCGAATTTTTTACATGTTTACCAAAGTATAGTCTAATCTTGTACTGTGTGTTTTAGAGAAATAAACAGTAACTTATTCTTTATAAAGTACTTTTGGTGTCTAAGCAGGTCTGGGCTTAAGTGTTTAAGAAAAGTAAATTACTAATGGTATTATTCCAATTATTTACATAGAATAACACCAGATTTGCAAGATGCTCCAACTGTATTTTATGTTGGTATTGCAGAAAGATACTAAAGAAACTAAAAATTTGAGTGAAGGAATTTGAGAGCAATTTAATAAAAGAATTATAAAAGCTTAACCGTTGCATAGACTATGTGATGCAAATGTTCATTTAAGTTTTGCAAGGAAGAGCCTGGAGCATCCTGGGGATAGCATTGGTATGAGGTAATTAATTAATTCCATTCACGTTTGGTCTAGGTAAACACTCTAGCTTGCCTACATTATCAATAAAATTTCTAGCCTGAAGTAAATTCTCATGAAACAAACAAACAAAATTAAAATCAGATCCTCCTCTAAGACTTTGGAAGACTGCTTACTACCAAGGCAGTTGGAACAGTATTTCTATCCTGTCCTCAATCAGGTCTCTAGACAAACATCAAGCATAGACAGTCTTTTTATAAAACAAACTAAAAAACCCAAACAAAAAAATGAAAAACCAAACGGAAAAACATGACCAAAACAATGTGAATAAGATTTTTTGAAGGAAACGAATATCCAAGGACTTTTTCTGGCACTCTGTGGTTACTAAGACAAAGCCTAATACTAAATGTTCTTTTATAACATCACTTTTTAAAAATTTGATTCTCAGCATCCTTCGGGAAAGTTTCTGCAACTGAGCATAGTTTCATTTTGGTTTTTTCTTTTTGTTTTATTATTGTCTTGCACATTATCTCTCCCTGCTCTATGGAAAAACAAGAAGCTATTGGATAATTACAAGTTAAATAACATTTATATGGGAGCAAGCAATCAGAGAGATTGCCCTACCTATGTTATGGTTAGTACTTTACAGCATAAGGATATATTTTGTGTGGACCTAAAGTTCAAAAGTAAATTAGGGTCATATGATATTAAATGTTTATTTCATGATCAGAAGCATCTGTGATGCACTGTTCTTAAATCTAAGGCCTTCCTCCTTTTTGAGAATTTAGGCTGGCTGGATAGACAAAACTATATTTGGGAAGGGAAATTCCACATCTGCAATGAAATAAAATATTGTGCTTTTAAAAAAAACGCCACTTTCAACCCTCATTTGTCCCATACTCAAAGAAGTCATATAATACATTTCTCTCTTCTATTTCAATATATAAAAACCTTTTATATATTGAAATGGTCTTTCATTTAACTGTGGTATGCAGACAGAAAATGTGTGCATTTATAACAAGCAATTGCCCGAGGTAGAAAAACATATTGCCTTTCTTCATTAGCTGTGAATGACTGGCCAGGAGAAATTCAGATATGCAGCAATTGCATTAAAACATTCCAGGCATAATTTAGCTGAAGAAAAAGAGGAGTTAGCATACAGGACTCATCAAATCTCCTCTACTAACAAAAATATACTTGAACCCATCATGAAAATCCTGTTGGTGGCATAGATAATGTCACGATATTTTAAAATCTCTGTATAAGGAAAGCCAGCTCATTACATGAGCTGTCTCAAGGAGGAAACATGGCTAGAAAATCGTGAACTTAATGGATTACAATGCTGAGCTTAACGAGTGTCTAGTGAGGAACATGATAGAAAAAACAAAACAAACACTTCCCACTACAATACAACCTACCCATATCTTATTTGAAAACTTTTAAAATACATTTTTCTAATTATTTTTAAAACATCAGCGGGGGGGGGAGGGAGAGAGGAAATAAGAAATAAACCAAACAAAACCAAAACACGCGATTTCCAAGAGAAGCAGTACATAAACACTGAAGTGCCTGAGAAGGAAATATGAATATTGCTCTTGAAAAGAGGTGCTCCCTCCTCACACCCTGTGCTCAAGGGCAAAAATGAAACCCGAGAGAGGTTTCTGTTTCAGGATTTTCAAATGGCCCAATCAGAACCTTGTACAAATCAACTCCCTTCTCCAGGCCCACATAATCTCTTCCTTCTCTACTAAATATACACCAATGGAAGCTTATTTTGCCAATTATGCAAAATAGAGCAAAATTGCAATTATGAAACAAACAAAAAAAAAAAAAAAACCCAAAACCCTGAAGTGTTTTAAACCTAATTCTAGCATCAAATTTCAGAATGGTTACCAATAAAGTCCTGCAGTTCCTGCTGTGTCAAAGTCCAGCTCTGAATGGTAGATTATTAATATCTAATGCAATTTCTCCAGCAGAACAGAGATTATTTAAAAAAAGGAGGGGGGGGGAGGAAGTCTTCTGTCTATTTTGGGAAAGAAAAGGAAAATCCAAAATAACAAACATGGAGAAAACCCACAAAAAAAAAAAAAAAAACGGAAAAAAAAGCCCAAAACAATAATAACCAAAAAAACCACCAAGCAAAGGAAAAGAACAGAACCTTTGAAAACTGTTTAAGAATCATATACCGCTTAGAAACACACCCACGATTCTTATCTTGTTTCCAAGCGAGATTTCAGCCGGGCACTCCCACGTTATCTCCCTCTGCCTGAAAAACATTCTCCATTAACACAACGCCCCAGTGACTCACTCCTCCGCCTCCTGAGGCACAACACCGGAGGGAAAAAAAAAAAAAGGAGAAAAAAAAAAGGAAAAAAAAAAGGGAAAAGGAAAATCAGAGTTTTCCTCGCCTTAGTTCTCAAGGGAGGATTTCAGGAACAAAGAAAACCCCCTCCCCAGCCCCTGGGCAGCCTCATTCGGAGGCTCCCGGCGCTGCATTCCTGCCTTCCCTTCGGGCAGTTTTCCACATAAAACATTACTGAAAGAAAACCAAGCTACAGCGTCGTTTATCTACACCTATTCTAACACAGGAGGGAAGGCCATGTTATTTACAGCGGGAACAAAATTAAAAACAAAAAAACCCCCCAAACAATCAAAGGTAAAACCCCCAAAATTACCCTGTTCAGAGGAGGGAGAGAGGAGCTGCGGCCGTCCCCAGCAGCGCGGCCCCGCAGGCACCAATGGCGCGGAAGCTCCTCCCTGCCAATCCCGATCCCTCGCCTGTCACCGGGATCTTCCAGCCCCTGGCACCCCGAGAAGGGCGATGCAGAGGCTGGCAGCTCCAAAGAACACAGCTTCCACATCGCCAAGGCCCTGCCCCCTTCTCGGTGCGCCAGGGGCTCCCGCAGCCAAGCAGGCCCAGGCAGCCGTAGCAACCAAGGGCCCTAAAAATGACAACTAAGGCTACCAAAGCCAAAAAAGTGGTGCTTAAGAGCTCAGAGAAGCAAAGGCAGCAGGATCCAGGAGAATACAATTTATAAGTAAAGGAAACTTTTGCAGAAAAACGCCAAGAGCACTCTTAAACGCCACTCATGCGGCCAGGATGAAGGAGAAAGAATTAAAACATCAGTTCAGTACCAGAGTAGTACCTCCTGACTCCCTTCCCGGGCATATGTGACTTTCCTACACGAACTCACACTCGAGCCAGCTCTGCAGCTGTCACCATCACCCATCACAATAATGAACTCTCAATTCAAAATACCTGATGCCACCTTTTGGAAACCCTCCTGGACTACGCCAAAGGTAAGTACTTACGGTTTTATTAAAGCCTAAAAGGTTTAAGCGGCAAAAAAGAGAAAAGAGAAGCACAGAAAGCAGCAAGCGGCAGGAACCGCTTCGTAGGAGGCGCTGGAGCCCCCGTTCCAGCCCGGCCCAGGGCAGGGCAGGGCCCCGCTCCCCGCGGTTTGAAAGCCCCGCGCTCCGGCCCCATTGGCCGCCCCGGCCCGCCCCGCCCTTCCTGCCCCGGGGAGAGCCGCTGCCCCCCACGGAACCCACCGGCTGGGAGGCAGCGAGCGCAGCCTTGCGGAGCCCACATCTCCTCTCAAACCACGCAGCGGTGACCGATTTCATCCGTGACAACCGCTGCCTTTTATTGATTTTTTTTTTCAAAAAGGTTAACTGACGCACGCTTACATAAGTAACTTCTAGGATAAAGAAAAAAGGGAGGAAGCTACAGAACACCAAGGCAGAGCCCAGAGATACATAACATTATAGGCACCGCCTCTTAAGATTTCAAGTTTTTAGATATATCAACACAGCGTGTATTCCTGGGGTCAAGCGTTCCTGCTCTTTCTAGGAAGATGTGGGTGGCTCTGAAAAGAGCCTTTGGGTTGTTAGTCAGATGAGATTTACTTGGCTTTGGCCTTGTGGCTGTCGGTCTTCTTGGGCAGCAGCACGGCCTGGATGTTGGGCAGCACGCCGCCCTGCGCGATCGTCACCTTGCCCAGCAGCTTGTTGAGCTCCTCGTCGTTGCGGATGGCGAGCTGCAGGTGGCGGGGGATGATGCGCGTCTTCTTGTTGTCGCGGGCCGCGTTGCCCGCCAGCTCCAGGATCTCGGCCGTCAGGTACTCCAGCACGGCCGCCAGGTACACCGGCGCGCCCGCGCCCACGCGCTCCGCGTAGTTGCCCTTGCGCAGCAGCCGGTGCACGCGGCCCACGGGGAACTGCAGCCCGGCCCGCGACGAGCGCGACTTGGCCTTGGCTCGCGCCTTGCCGCCCTGCTTCCCGCGACCCGACATGGCTCACGGAGCTGGATTAAATGAAAAAAGAGCCGAGTACGCGGAAAAGCTACGCGAGAGCAGAGAAAAAACGCCGCGAAAATGAGAAAATGCACAAGGAGCTTAAGCGCTGCCTTTTTATACCTTCCTGTTGAGGCTCGCTTGGACTTCTGATTGGAGGAAAGAGGGATTGTGAATTTAGCCAATGGGAATGCAGATGAGAAAGTCAACCAATGGAAGATGCACTGTATTTGACGTCACTGAGCCGAGCTGTCCAATAGCGAAGGACAGTGTTGAGTCATCTCATTTGCATACCGTCTCTATAAATAAGGGTGGCTCTGGTTTTGTACCTACGTCGTTCCTGCGGTAGCCAGGTGTAGACAGACCCGTAAAATGCCGGAACCAGCCAAATCCGCTCCCGCTCCCAAGAAAGGCTCTAAGAAAGCCGTCACCAAGACTCAAAAGAAAGGTGACAAGAAGCGTAGAAAGACTAGGAAAGAGAGCTACTCCATCTACGTGTACAAGGTGCTGAAGCAGGTGCACCCCGACACGGGCATCTCGTCCAAGGCCATGGGCATCATGAACTCCTTCGTCAACGACATCTTCGAGCGCATCGCGGGCGAGGCCTCGCGCCTGGCGCACTACAACAAGCGCTCCACCATCACCTCGCGGGAGATCCAGACGGCCGTGCGCCTGCTGCTGCCCGGCGAGCTGGCCAAGCATGCCGTGTCCGAGGGCACCAAGGCCGTCACCAAGTACACCAGCTCCAAGTAGGGCGCCTCCGATCGTCAATTTCAACCTAAAGGCTCTTTTCAGAGCCACCCATATATTCAGTAAAAGAGTCGATCACAGTTTTTTATCGGTGAGTGGTGCTTGTACTGTTTTAGTCACTGGGCTAGAACACGCTGTCAGAAGGTGAGGGAAAAATGTTTATCCTGTTTAGGTATGTAGAAGAATTTGGGTCGTCTTGTCTGTTCTGTTCTGTCAGTTGGTCCCGCAGGTCTATAAAAAGCATGTTAAGCCCCTAAAGAGTTTTAAAGCCATTAAAGGTTTCTGTCTTAATTTCAGACTATTTATTCGTACTAGTTATTCACAAAGACAGTTTGTTGTCCCCTTTAAATACGAGATGTCATTCTGGAGTGACTTGGCCGCAAGCCAAAGTGGCTTGTTTACCGGGAAACTAGGGATTAACCTGTAATGATTTAAAGACGGTATTTAATGAAACCAATAGCGACAGACAATGCAGGTGCATTATGGTATAGAGAACAGCATAATTTTATTAGTCCCAGAGATTTCACAACGAAGTGGTGTACTTTATTAACGTCGGAGGCATTAGTAAAATACAACACCGTGCAGTGGAAACGCGGCAGAATTAAGAAACCCGTAAGTGACAACACAATATGAAATTAGAAGAAAATATAAGAGACTTGAGGGAAAAAAAAAAAAAAAGAAAAGCGAGGATGAGCGCTTTAACGAACCTCAGGTAGCTCGGGATGCGCAGGGAAGGCTGCATTTGGTTAAACGCCTTTTAAAAGGGGCTTAAATCTAGGATGTCCCGAGCAAAGGCTGCGAGAAACCCACGGCAGAGACAGAGTGAAAACTCCACGTCTGCTGCGAGCTGCAGCTGTGCGAGCGCTCCGGGCCGCCGTCAGTGCCGCTCGGCCGGGCGGAGCTGAGGGATGAGAGAGGAGGGAGCGCGGCCGCTCCGGGCAGGGAGGGGGGGGCGGGACGGGGGAGGGCGGGGAGCGGCGGCGATGGCGGCTCCCGCCTGTCCCCTCCCCCTTCAGCCCCCACCGCCCGCACCGCGCGGGATTTTCAAACTCGGCCCTTGTCCAATGGCAGCCCGGCTCTGCGCGCGGGCCAATCACAGCGCGCTGCTGCCCATAAATAGCGGCCCCCGTGGCCGCTGCCCGCTCAGTGTCCGTTCCCTGCGCGGCTCGGGATTCTCGGTGGGCAGCGATGGCGCGCACGAAGCAGACGGCGCGGAAGTCGACGGGCGGCAAGGCGCCCCGCAAGCAGCTGGCCACCAAGGCTGCCCGCAAGAGCGCGCCGGCCACGGGCGGCGTCAAGAAGCCGCACCGCTACCGGCCCGGCACGGTGGCGCTGCGCGAGATCCGGCGTTACCAGAAGTCCACGGAACTGCTGATCCGCAAGCTGCCCTTCCAGCGCCTGGTGCGCGAGATCGCGCAGGACTTCAAGACCGACCTGCGCTTCCAGAGCTCGGCCGTTATGGCGCTGCAGGAGGCCAGCGAGGCCTACCTGGTGGGGCTCTTCGAGGACACCAACCTGTGCGCCATCCACGCCAAGCGCGTCACCATCATGCCCAAGGACATCCAGCTGGCCCGCCGCATCCGCGGAGAGCGCGCCTGAGCTGTCGGCAGACGGAAGATTCAGACCATCGAAAACCCAAAGGCTCTTTTAAGAGCCACCACAACATCATTAAGGAGCTGTAAAATCCTAATTACGTGTAAGAAGTGAGGTTTTTGGGGTGGCTTATAGTCGCGAGGATCTTGCACGTCAAGTAAGTACAAAGTAACGCATAAGCTGTATTTCGTAGGAGTCAGATCCTGAGTTTTGCAAAACTGTTGTGCAGTTAATTCTTTAAAAATAATTTTGCTAAGCCAAATTTTCGTTTAGGGTTGAAAACTGGTCTCCATTTTTTATCTCACGTCATTTTGATTGTAGGAAAATGCTTTCACGGTTCTCAAAGGGAAGCTATCTACTTAAAAGATAAGTGGGTTTTATCTGTTAGCATGTCTTGATATCACTTGTTTGAATTCGTAAAGGGAAGTTCTGTAGAATCCTGCTCCCCTGGCTGGAGAAGTTAAATGCGCTCTAAATGTCTCCTGATGTCTCCTGTGTGTTGCAGATGTGCGTGCCTCTACGTCCCTCATTTAACCTCACCGGTTTTCTGCAGCAATATTGTATCTTCCCCCCCCCCCCCCCCCCCCCCCCCCCCCCCTTGTTTTTAATTCTTTTGGTTTTGGGAGGGCTGTGGGACTCGCTTTGTTTCTGAAAGCGCAAAAACTCCTTTCCCGCCCTCCCTGGAAGGACTCCCCATCGGTGCTTTCCTCAGTGCTCTGCCGCTCCTGGTCGTCAGCGGCGTCCCCCGGGCATTTCCAGCCCATTTCAAGCGCTACGATTTATTCCCAGATAAAATATTTCCAAAAGCGGTGGAGGGGTGGGTGGAATCCAAGGTGGAGGCAAGGATGTTTTCAGAGTCCTTTTCCCAAGCCGTGTGCGTGCTCCTTGCTGGAGTCTGGTCTAGGACCACACGTGTGACATCGTTAATGGATGGTTGGGGATTTCTGGCTGCATCAATCTTCTCTCTCGTTATCGAGGCTCCCAAAAAGGTTTCTTGGAGTTACCACAGGCCAAGCGTTTTCCAAGAAGCATCTGTGCTTGAAAACTTAGCAAGTCTAGAATAATTTCTAAATGGAGGCTGTTCCATAATCGTCTTGTTCAGTGATTTTTGTGAACCTCCCTAGAAAATTGATTTCTCCCTGATTGTAAATTCAGTCACACACACACATCCCTGCTCTCCTAGTCATTAGATGTGTAGCTGCCCGAAAAATGTACATTTCTAAAATTATTTCGGACTTTCTGGTCCCTTTATATATATATATATATATATAAATGCTACAGGTAGATTTAGGTAATCTGGGGAGCCTGCTGTTCTACTGAATTATTGGAAATTATGTCCCTTTGGTTTTTCGGGGCTGCCAATGAGTACCGGTGGCTTTACGAAGCTTAAACACAGCTTTCATTTAAACCAGGAAATAAGGAACCACTGAGAAATGCTTAGAGGAAATATTTCTCCAAGAAAGCCTAAGATTGCAAGGTTCAGTTTAGTCTTAACTGCTGATAAAACCTTCATTTTAGGAATATTTCCTTCTCTCTGCGAGAAACTTGGACTCTGCAGCAAAATCCGACCAATCAAGAGCCTCGACACCATTTTCTTTCCTCTGTTTTTCTCGCTTTCAGCCATTTTCTGTTTCTGAGCCTCGGAGGGTTAAAAGGGAGGGGGGAAGGCGTCGGGAGCCGGGCTTTGGGAATTCAGAATTCTCTGCTGTGATTTATTCATCCATCCCCCCTAGATTTAGTCGTTGACATATGACTTGTGTTTTTCCAAACAGATTTTTTTATTTCTGCAGATTGCTGGTGGGACTGCAGAAATGAGATGTAGTGAAAGCTAACTCATTTCATTTTCTGATATGGTCAAAGACATGTCTACCTGGACCTGTTTGCATATGCTTATAGGAAAAATAAGTATTAAATCAAGTAAAATCGCTTTTTCTAGTGGTTTATTTAGATGATATTTGATATCTTATAGAAGCTATTGGTCAGAGTAGTTACATTTCAGAAAAATGTAGCATCAGAATTAATGGGCTGTTTGGGATGAGAGAGGAGGTTTGGGTTTATGGTTTGTTTTTGGTTTTTTGGGTTTTTTTGCATGATGAAGAAACAAATTATATTTAAGCAGTGAGACAGGGAGATGGGTTTTATTTGCCTTCATCTCTCTTTTCCTCTTGTCTTTTGAAGACCTCAAACTGTTTTACTAAATTAAATATTATTTCGATTCATTCATAGAGAGTTACCTGCTTGAGTGCTAAAAAAAAAAAAACCACTTAACACTTCATCAGCTGAGAAAGAAAGATGTGCAGTGCTCTTTATTTTCTCAGGGCTCATATAAACTCTAAATTATAAAGCCTGAGCCTGAAGTAGTTTTGGGGTGTAATGCACAGCAAATGGGTGACAGACAGACACAGGTGATGTGGTGCAAGATTCCCTAAGTCCAAGTGGGAATAAATGTGGAGGTTCCTCTGGTGCCAGCAAGGTTCAGCTGCGTTTCTTTGCTTTTTGCAGGGGAGCCTGAGATAAAAGAATGCTGCCAAGGCAAAGCTGGATGTGAGCTGGAACTCTGTGCTGAGCAGCTGAGGATTGCCTTGAAAGCTGCTGTTGGTGATTAAGGTGCTTTTGCAGGTGATTTTAGATGCTCAGCAAGATACTTGGCTAGGACTGTTCCTGGCCCTTTAGCATCCTCCATGGATGAGCTGGCTCAAATTAAAATCATGGCCTGGAAGA